GAGCTGTATTCTTAGTATCACTTTTTTGACCCGCTCATACGCGACAGTGATCAATAGATCAGCCGTTTCGCACGTGCATTGACGTTTTCTGGTGTGGCCAAGCGCACCAGACTATTGATCGGCTATCCAGACGGGGGTTCACGGTGAAAAGAAGGCAGTAGGTAGACTGCGGTCCACAACACTCAGCTTCGAGCAAAACGATTAGTGAAATTGTGCAAAACAATGTGGCTAGAATGTGTACCTACCTGCCGTGAACGTAACACTCACGACGTAACTTATCCCCCTTCTAAGGGTGCATGGTTCCCTGTCACACGGTGAAATCTGCACCGCTGTCACACGAGCGCCCGTTGAACCTGTATAACGGATAATTTGGAATGAAGTGCAAAAGAGGAGGTGAGATTTTGCACACAAGCCAATGATGCATTAGCAAGCAAATTACCAACATATGCCGGTTGGCAAATTAGACTGCTCCAATTTTAAACCGTTAGCATGCCTGCCACGCATTAGTGCAACCACACGAAACGTGATAAGTAGATTCTTAGTTTTTCTATGTGATTCATTCGTACATCCCGCGTGTGTTATTCACACGCGATCCCATGCAATTATGGCACTGAGTATTCCATGTAGCTGTCAGTTGACACATTCTATTGACCTCAGTCAGCTGACACCAGTCACCTGACTGGTATGGGTGACCCCGACGAAAACAGCAAAGTTCGGGAACTGGAGAAAAACACAGGTCTACAAAAACTAATTTCGGTTTCAGATTTGATTTCTATCCAAGTATAGGACGCCTTTGACACGATAGTTCCTAAAGCCGGATCTGAGAGAAAACCGCATTTAGTTGCCAGTAGGATGTACGCTCGATCTGCACACTCGCTTATTGTCAAACGTTCGCCTTGTGATAGTTGTCTTCGTTGTAGAGAGGTAGCAGTCTTCAAAGGCGGGATAACTCTCCTCCTGGAAAAGCCTGGTTCTTAACAAAATTTATGGTTTTCCATGAATTATATTGCATTGTCTGGCCCGTGGTTCTCGTGAGAAAATCCGATAAATCGATTGAGTGTCAAATGGTCCCCAGGTTACCGAATGTTTCCCCTTCCTATGTATATTACAGTTATCGATAATATAAATATTTGTTTTATATTTCTGTAGTGTATATCTGATTCGAGCCCTTGAAATTTCGGCTGGTAGAAATTTTAAAAAAGTCACGTCACTCAGGAATGGGTATCAATTATCGTGATCCAGCTGACATAAGTTGCATTCTAATTTTGCGTGTAAAAATCGATGCGATAATCGGACAGTCAAATCTAACTGGAAATCAACTATGAGCATGATGCGCTTTTCCACAGAACTATTCACATGCTATCAAAAAATCTCTGCGTTTTAGACTCTTAAGCCTTACCGCAATCTCTGAAGTTCACGGCGTCCGTCACTCCGGCCACAAAAACGATCAAACTACACGTCAACACGTTGAGTAGTTTCATCGTCTGTGAGATGTGCAACGAGTACACTTTCACAGGCTCTGCAAGTCAGTTATATATTGAGAGCCTTCCGAATTGGCTGACAAATTAAAACCTTCCCACGCATGTATAATGTCACCTCACTCGGGCAACTCGGAAATTCAAAGCCCATTAATTAAGCGGACTGACGCACATACGGGGCACCTGCTCGGTCAGATGCTCAGACGAAAAGGATTAGAATGAGCCAACTTACAGTTTAGCAACTCTTTCAAAATATCATGGCATGTCGCACACGTTTAGTTTCAAGGTCGCCCACTTTTTGAACGAGAAAATAAAGCGTGTGGAAATGAACTACAACTGAGAATGCGTTAAATTCGCTTGGTGGGAATAAGCTAGTTACTCTTTCATTAGGATGTGTGCATTGTGCTAGTTTATGCACTTTGCAGTTCTCTACCAAACCACATTTATATAATTATACACCGTTTATATTCCGGGTTGTAGGGTCCAATTTCTTACTGGCTATAGGTGGTTGGTTCTAGGGACCTCCTGTCTTCACTAACCAAGTTTGTAACTCTGCGTTTTCAACCTGGTAGCTTCTGAGGCAACGGACTTTGACAACGGTGGCAACATACTACGATTACTGATCTTTTGAGGTAATTTAAACGGTTTCCAAGGGCAATTATCAAAGGGTCGAAAATTTGATGTGCCTAAAGTCTTTGTGATATAACGTTCGAAACCTCAGGCTCTCGGTTTCCTTGTGGTGCGCACACAGAATTCACTGGACAAATATACTACATTCTTTACGCTGTGTAGTTCCCAACTCGTTCGAAGAGTGTCCCGTAAGATTCAAGTACTCGTAATTTTCGAGGGTCAGATTAGGACGGCAAATAAATAAGCAGCTTATGTGGTGTGTAAACTACCTACCAAGGAGTTAATGTTCCGACTGTCGTGAGGAACGTCTTAGTGAGTGAATCACGAAAGTTCCGGGAACTTTTCACTTGTGGACGCAGGGGTACATGACGGGATTTGCGTAGGCGAAAGACAGTGATAGTAAGTGCTATCGGAGTGCTGTTTAACCCAAGCTGGCCAGTCACTTGTGGCCAAAATGTACTTTTTTTCAACCAGTTAACTAAACCATTTTTTGAACGAGAAAATGGAGTGTGTAGAAATGAACTACAACTGAGAATGCGTTAAATTCGCTTGGCAGGAATAAGCTGCCCCTTTACCATAATGTTGAAGGCCTCGATTTTGAAAAATCTCAAGGATTTCGCAATGTTTTTTTCCATTGTCCTTGGCAGCGGAGAGCATAAGGTACATTAATCAGATAATTCAATCATCCAACAGGGGTTGTTTATTCATTGGTGAGGGGGAGAAGAGAGGTATCAGTTTGGCAGAGAACTGTGTGGGCAAATGAGAGTTTTCGGTTCCCCAGGCTAGGAAATGGGGTTTAGTTTACGTGACCCATGATGAGACATTGACATAGAAGTTTGATATTGATGCAGTGAGCGGTAGAGTTTTCTTTTGGGACCCTGCTCCTGGCCGATTACGCAATAGTCTCACCTGCTCAGCTATATTGGACTGACTTCATCTAAAAGCGCCAGGAATATGACACAGATGACTCAATTCTGATGTTGCTGAGCGTGGAAGGTGCGCTTATAGCCATATCGAGCACAGAAACATAGTTGATTTGTTTTTAACCCTTTTGGGTAACCCGTCGGTGGTCTTCGTCGACAGGTGGGTAATAATAACGTGTGAGTTTTAAGCAGACATTTTCTAACCCGTCTTTTCTCTGAGGACGGCAGTGCCTTCATGATAATGGATGTGATGATCGCCTGGAAGGTAAGCCTTACTGCCATCATAGCCCCATCGCTGAGTACAGTGTGCGTTCACCCCAGACCAACTCGCAATGTGATTGCTCCTATTACGGGGTCCCACTGCCGCTGATCTGACCGTTCTCCTTTCAGCTCTTCTGAATGCTTTCACTTTGACAAACGATGTTCTGGTTAGTGTATTCCACATGGTAATTGTCGCATTCAAGTCCGACTTCCACCTTTGAGTGTCAGTCTTGTGTCGGGGTGTTTTAAGATATATGCCTGGTAACTGACTTTAGACTATGGCAGCATCTTAACTTCAGACCAAAAGAAAAACGTGATAGGACAAGTGTTCATCTGTCTTGACCGAATGCAAGTCAACAAGTAGTTTGAGGCCTGGTGAATTTTCAGCCAGCTCACATCCAGTCGTGGCGTTCCGGTAGCGATTTTCTAGTTGGATGACCTTCGTTTACAACCCTCTGATGGGGTATCCAAGAACGCTGCCGCATATTTAAATGGGAGTTTTAGAAAAAATGCCGCAGCAAGAGTAGTTGACAGTATTAATAACAGCGATCATCAGGGAGGTTGTTCAGAAGCAGATTGGGAAATGGCAGTTGTTCAAACGAGGCTGTGGCCACCCAGTCACCCAACATACTTGACTGTTCAGCTCCCAGTCACTCACTAGATCACGAGGCTTGTCTTTTTTTATACTCACAAATCAGGTCACATTAAGGTGACTCATCGGACATCGATTGTCGGTACCATCTAGTGAGCGTAGCAACAAGTCATGTGCTGACACCCACGTACACGCAAACGGACCTACATATAGGGAGATCGAACACAGTCAGCACACACAGACTCGCGCGCCAGCAGGGAGCAAGGAGTCAGCCAAGCCCTCCAAGTCCGCGGGCAATTATGGATTACGTGTAGCAGCCAAACTATGGAAGAAACATGTTCCCGTCGTCCGGGCTTTCACCAAGGAACTCTCACCTATGATAAGTCTCCTTTTGACTTGCTTCACATTTTATATTTGCCTATATTTTATACATGCTGCAGATCGCTTTTGTAAACTACTATAAACCACAGTAAAGACGGTTATTAGTGCATGTACCTTCTGATTTGTATTATGGCTATCATCACCAGTGCACTAATAAGGCACCCAAAAGTCATAAACGGGTAACGTCGAACACGCTCGTTCAAATACGCGCAATTCTGTACGGTTTCAGACTGGATACAAATTTTGTCTTTGGATTTCCAACAAACTTCCAGTGTGCAATGTCGTCTGCAATTATCGCGCACCTGCTCCATCCACGTAACCTGCGAATCACGGAAGACGAAACTAACGCTTTTTTCCGAGGTGTCGCGTTCACTCCTAAGCTCATGGCTGATGGAATACGCGGTGCCTGCATCTATTGATCACAGTTCTTTCTGGATTTCTGTGCAGTACAAGGACGCTGGAAACCCGCTTCGATTAGGTCTATCACACCTCAAGGATTGGAGTAAGGGCCGTTATTTCGAAGGCTGTGACGTCGTTTGAATAAATAAGAACGCTGTGAAACGCTTATTAGTAAAGCATTCGTTTCTTCCAAAATCCATCGTACGACACTCATCATTGAAGCCCTTGGAAACCCCAACGTAGTAACTTCATATTTCCTCGTGAACCACCATCACCGAATCCGAAGCACCAATCGACAAAAGTGCTAGTCAGGCATCCCACCAATGAAGTGACAGAATGCTCGCCACTGTGGTCGGTACGTGTCATGTCCTGTAAAATTTTTGGAACGACCTGACCCCATCGGGGGAGGTGCTGATTACGCACAGCGCTTAGTCTGACTGTAGTCACTTCTAATTTGCAGGACCAAGTTGATGGTTCCACGAACCTTTCCTCAACAAGGGCTTGCAGTGGAGAACGTTGCTTCATTTGATGGACGGTGGTAGACAGCGTTCGGGACACATGCTGACAAACAACCTGATAGATCTTATCCGTTGATCAGGCCAATCTTGCTCGCTACCTGGTATTCGCTTACTGAGGAAGGAGGTTCTAATAGATCAGGGGGAAGGAAGGAGAAGGGCTGAATGACTGGGGATGGCGGATTTTGTTCGTGCTCATAGCATAATTATTCCAGTGAGTCCATACCAAAGAGAAGCACAGGACTCGAGTTCCGCTATTATTAGATCCCACCAGTTGTGCATATCCAAAGGCCGTGCCGGGATTTGAACTCCGAACATCTGACATGCGAGGCGAGCGTGTTACCGCTACTTCACCGACACATGTTGGATTCACGCGAAAGTGTTCACGCCTGAGCGATGAGATTGATGTGCCAGTTTCTCACTTACTTTTCTGGCTGCTTTTCGCATTCATAACCTAGCATACTTAAAGAGTTGTTGCGTCATCTTCTGTGGATTTGATTTCCAGTAAAAGTGGCATACATGTTGAAAGAATACATCCCCATTAAATTTCAAATAAATTACTTCTTTACGCGTGGTTTTTGTGTCTGCGTATTGACGACCCTCTCGAATCCGAGAGAGGTGCGCACAGCTGATGATTCCCAGTGTGGATGAAAAAACTGTAGTGTGTCTTGGTTTTTCAGCACAAATTGACACAACTCACAAGATAAATTCCGAGTGAAAAATCACAACTATTCTGAAGCTTTGAAAAATTTTTCAACGCCCCTTTTGATTCACCGGTTCGCGGGCCCCATCGACACTTACGCGATTTCACTAGGCTTTGCTCCTCTCAAAAGCGACCCCTGAGTTCTAGTTAGGTATGCGACTGATGAGATCACTACTCCGTTCATGGCACTCGCGTTTCCAGTTGAAAAGGGTTGTATTTGTTCGCCTGTTTTGTCACTTCACTGTACCTTTCCTCGAAGCTGAAAAATAATTTTGGCTATTTAGTGAGCGCTGATTGGTCCATATTTCGTGTATGTGAAGTTTGTTCGCCTTTTTGTCACTTCACTGTACCTTTCCTCGAAGCTGAAAAATAATTTTGGCTATTTAGTGAGCGCTGATTGGTCCATATTTCGTGTATGTGAAGTTACTTTAGTTCCCTATTATTCTTGACTCAAAGGCTGCTTGTGTTACAGCCACAGTTAATGGGAATTCATTTCTCAAAATAATGTTTAATGTGGGAACATTTTGATGCAACAATATGGCGAGCAACCGATTCATGGCACTAGTTCTGTACATTTGAGTTACTCACATGACCAATTTTCACCGAGGTCAATCTGAAGAAAATCGTTCTGTAATGGAACTGGGCACTCGTGCTGTTCAATGTTCAGTGCACAGTGAAGACAACCTGGATGGTTTTGTTTGAAGTGATGAAGTCGTGAAGTCATAGCGCACGCAAAAGTTGCGAGGACTGATCGCGGGAATCTACAATCCCCATGGCGATATACTCGACTAGGTCTCCATCCATTCATTGCCTTTAATCTAGAGCGTTGTAAAAGATCAACGTTTTCCACATTTATTTCGGCATTGGAGACAAAGTGATCTGAAATTAGGACATGAAACGCCGATTTTTTTTTCGCGAACTTGGAACGTTTTATCTAGGTTATATTTATTGGCTGGAATAGACCTGCCACACTGTTTTCGACCAACCACTAGGAGTTCAACCATGGATTTTGGACAACTCAGTTCTTTTATTGTTTCCGTGTTCCCAGGAACGCATCGTAATTCCTAAAATTGCCTGTCTGATTAATCAATTCATTGTGCGGCAGAAATTGCTGCATTCAGTCTGTGTGGTGTTGTACAGACCACGTGGATTGTTCACTCATTTCATGCCATTTCGAACACTCGCGGTGAGCGTTCCTGTAAAGCCAAATGCACTAATTTTCGCTCGTTCATCTTTGTCTGACTGCTGTTCGCGCTCCGGTGCCTGATGCGGGAAAAAGACTCGTCGATAAAGAGCACAAACATCTTATTGGGAGCGAGTGCGAGAGTTCGAGTGCGAAAATACAGCGGCCTCAAGCTATTTTGTTGGAAGGACACTATCTGAACTTGGTTCAAGGCTGTCACGCGTTGCATATTCATGGGGCATGGTCTGATCTTGATCAAACGCCGACTCACGTTGTGTGGCTTTTTATGTAAGGCCATCACGCTCTGTATATTGAGCAAGGATTGTCTGGTCGGCATTTAGTGGAGTTGAAGGTGCCAGAAGATTTCGGGCATTCAGTGGTTACTTTCATGAATCTGACCTTCCTGATAGTGTGGTTTACTCTTTAGGTGCGTGGAAATGTCCAGGACAGGCGAGACAATTCCATCGACCACCTGCTAAAGGAATATGGTGACGGTGCGTACATTTGGAATAGATGGACCTCAATTTTTCCAATCCCTTTGTTTCGTTCTATTCAGCTCATCAGCCATTTGCAACGCCGTCTTTTGTCAAAGTTTGCAATGTCCTACAAAAGATGATCTAAGTTTGATCCCAATAAAGTCAGAACCAGTCTACATACTTTACTATTTGATATGCTCAATGCTCGCTTTTTACAGAATACTCGCAATTGAAAAAAATTTCCTTGCAAACTTTCTTGAGTCTGCGGTCAATTCCAACCAGGCGAGAAAACTTTCGGCGGGCAAAAGATTCCAGACCCGCCCCTTTTGCAAGCAAATTTTCAGTTGTCCACACAGCCCAATTCACTGCTTCGTGCAGAAAATTACTTTCTTGGAGAGAGGTCACTTAACTTCTTCGTTTTAACATATGGGATTTGGGAACACATATATGTTGTCACATTCCCGTTGGGGTTTAGCCAATTCTGTCAAACGTGCACTATTTGCGGCGTCGTTCGTCCGAGTTTTCGCGAAGTATTCATCCAAGTGAATAATATATGAATGATGTATGACATCTCACATATATGATATTTGACGTGCACAAAAACATTGTTACAGTAAAGCTCACTATATGAAGTTTCGATTCCTAAGTTTCCGATACTTTCTCGTCCTAGACGAGTGCGGACATGCAGGTCTCGATTGGGGGGGGGACCTGCGTTCGGACGTGCTTACGCGGTTTTCTGTGTTTGCTGAGGCAAGTTCACTCGGAGAACTGACCGGAGTGTTAGTGAACGGGTTAACTCCAATTTCACCTGCTCCCTTGTTTTGTTTTAGTAAGCTCAGTGACCATTTGAAATACCGTCCTTTGTCAGGGGCTGCAATACCCTAATGAAAGTGGTCTAGGCTTGGACACAATGGGTTCTAAATCAGTCCACATCTGTCACTGATGAAGCAGCACTCGCATTCAAAGGAATTCCGGCTATTAGAAGAAAAAGCTTCCGTTGATTCTTGGAGTCATACATCGCTCTCGTAGAATTATCGGGTATGTCGGTCTCCCTGGACCCACCGTAGACCAACTGGGTTGTGGGAGAACATATTCCGGTGATCATGGTGCT